TCCTAGAGTGTAAGCTCTTGGATGGCAGAAACTGTATTTTATGCTCCTAACCTGCAGTGGGTTCTCAAAAAATTAATGCATGCTTGGTTGATTGGTTGGTGTTGTGACCTTTGAGAAACCTACAGATGGACACCCGAGCGTATGTGTCTTCAGTTTGGACAAGAAGCGCAGTATTTCCTGGTATACCTGGTACCCACACTCAGCAGGCACTAAAGAGACCTGCTGACAGTGACTGTGTGGCAGTCAGAATCACAGATGCTAATATGATGAGTTTAAGTACCTCAAGCTGAGCCAGCAGGAAGCCAAGCTAATACCAATACTAGGAATCACACACCATGGCACCAGAGTCTATTAGAGGTAACCCTGCCCCAACCGTGACTTTAATAACACGAAGGATGTCACAGGAAACCGATCGCAACACGAATAAAGGACTATGCTGATTACTAAGGACCTTTGCTTATTTGCCATCCGCATTTGATAAAGTAACAAGTCTCATCTTTGTTCACTTATAATTGAATAACCTCTATTTCATTAGACCAAGGATGGGAGAGTAGTTCCTTCTGGGAAAACCAGCAGCAAAGAGTATGAATATGCTCAGTGAATGTGGACTTTTATTATTAGGAAATATTAATAAATAATTGCGCAAAAATCAAGCCAGTTGATGTAATGGAAAGAACAATAGACTAAATTCAGATCAGGTTTCTAGACTTATCTCTGCCATTGGCTGAGCTATAAGACACTTTATCTCATGGGACCTTGATTTTCTTATATGCAAAGCACAAAGATGTGGCCCTAGATCTCAAAATTCCTTCCAGTTCCAATATTCTTTAACTAGTATCTTTTGCCTACCCAAGATTTATTTGTGGCCAACAGCAAGTAGTTATTAGCACCAGTGGTTTTGAGAAGACATCTGTCAGGACATCTAATTGTATCTGTTTTATAACTTTAATCTCTTCTACATTTTCTCCAATAAATAATGTAGCTGAGGATATATATACAGCCTGTGAGGCAAATCTGTCCTATACACTTCCATTCTCTTTCTCCATCAGCTTAACTGAGGAAAACAGAGCTCCTTTCCCCCACAGCTTACTTACTTTGGGAGTAGAGGGGCTGTCACCGAGTGGCAACCTACTTCTGTTGTCTGGCTGGACAGGTATCTCTAGACATTTGAGAGACTGTGACACTGGAGTCCTCAACATCTGATCTGGACTTTCTTTGTATTTTTCCTGAGATGTGTCGAGTTCACACATGTCATTGAGGGGTGTCCTGGGAGGTGTAAGCTTTGCCTCTGAATCCTGCCTTCCACCCTCCTCTGAGCTCCAGGCCTCCCTGCTCTCTTTGGCCTTCTTCTGTCCTCCATCCTCAGTCTCTTCCTCCCACAAGGAAAAGTTTAACTTCTGCCTCGGCTCTTTAATATCTCTGTCATCCATCTCAGCCAAAGAGCATTTCAACAGAGGCAAGACGGTCTAGCAGAAGGGAACACTAAATCTACAGAAGGAGACGAGAATTCAGCCTGGCAAGTTTCACAGCTCCAGCCTGCCCTTTCCTCCACCATCTAACAGCTACAAGATATGCTGTTAATTTTCTCCCTTAAGTACCACCAATCCATAAGACCTCAGCTTATCCTCATTTCCATTCTGATTAAAGTAAGCTCCAGTAGCTCATCAAGCAACTAAATCCAATTTATGTATAGACTCTTCCGGACCCCCCC